TTGTGACGGCACCGAGTGTGAGCTCTTTCAAGACAAGACTTGACCAACACTGGAGCGGGTTCAGGTACATTCAGGAGCCGGTGCATGCCCAGTACTTGCCAACAGTGCGTGACAGAGACGTGACCGATTGCCCGGGTGGCTAGCGAGCTGATCTTTTGGTGAAGAAGATAAATGAAAAAGAAAAGTAATCAGAGACGTGACCGATCGCCCAAGCAGCTAACAAGCCAATCAGTGGTGAAGAGGATAAAAGTTAGCTCAGTGAATTTTTTTTATTTTTTATTTTACTTTTTTTTATTTATTTATTTTTTTATATATATATATATATATACGGTAAACTAACTTCATTCAGAGCATTTTTATTTGGAGGGATCATCAAGTTCTCTATTTGTTGCTAATCAGGGGCACAGACATTATCGCCTCAATTAATTAGCTTGAGCGATAATGCCGGAGTGAGTACTATCACCTGGCAGGGTTGACAGTGCTGAGCTGCTAGCATAGCGCTCCATTGGCAACATCGTTCACTATTACTCTAACAGTATTTATTGGGTTGAGAATTCCACCGTGAATGGTTCTCATATAACCCATATAAGGATGCAAGGTACATCGCAACATAACTCTAGATTGCTAATAAGATCGGGAGGTCAGCATTCCGGAAGGAACTCTTAAGTCTAGCAGCCTCGCTAAAGTTTGCCTGGAAAGTTATGAAGAGAAAAACTCGACTCTGGCCTTCATGCTGAGAGCAATTAGAAAACCCAGGGCGGAAGCCCGAAAGTTTTGTGAACAAACATAAGAGTAGGAAAAGAGATAGCCACATCGTATTCATACGAGCACGTGTATAATTGGGACAAAGAAAATCGTATGCTGTGTGTGTGTGTGTGTGTTTCTGTCTGTCTGTCTGTCCGTCCTTCCTTCCTCGGTTAATGAGTCACCTTCCATACGATTCTTAACTTCGGTTAACGAGCAATCCCTCGATTAATGAGTTTCTTACGAGCCGACCTCAACATGTTTTCGCTTGCATTTGGCGGTCCACCAGCTGTAGTATTAGTCCGCCAATACAGTAATCGGTTCTAGGGCTTAAATTCCTTAATATTTTAGTAAATATCAAGAAGTTTATACTATTCAATAATTTTAAAAGTTTCATATTAAATTTTTTAGTCATTTTAACAATTATTGAACATAATTGAAGGTAAGGAAACTAGTTTTATGCTTGCCATCCAGCCTGTCAACACACCAAACAGGCATTAGTCTCTCTGTCTTTTCAGTGGAGGTAACATCTTGCTTGAGACTCTCTTCAACTAAATGCTTTTTTTCTGTGTTTCCAAGCAAATTATTGGTCATTTTGAAATTTATTTTACATGTTGACAATATGTAGTGCAGTGCAGTGTTATTTTAAAGAAAATATTCTTTATTTACAGCAAGTTTAAACTTAAAATATCACGTGTTGAGATTGTGTGAATCCAGCATGGGGCCTAAGAGATCAAGAAAAGCAATTTCAATCCAAACTAAGCAAGCAATAATAAAAAAACATGAAGAAGGCATTAGAATAAATGCGCTATGCAAAGAATATGGCATGTCGACATCAACTGTATCGACAATTCTTGCACAGAAAGAAAAATTTAATGAAGTGAGTGAGAGACAAATCTACCAGGGTGTTTAAAAGTAGATCCCTAATTGCAGAAACAGAGAGGTTACTTCTCATCTGGATAAGGGAAAAACAGATGAAAGGTGATTCAGTTTCTAGTGAATTTATTTGTGAAAGAGCCAGGGAGATTTACGAACATTTAAAAATAGATCAACCTGGTTCTTCAGGCACAGAATTTGAAGATCTTAGGGCCAGCAAAGGCTGGTTCGAAAAATGTAAGAAAAGAAGTGACATATTTAGTGTAGTTAGGCATGGTGAGGCTGCTAGTGCTGATAAGGAAGGGGCAGCAAAGTTTTTAGTGGAGTTTAAAGAACTTATGGATGAAGAAAATTATCTTCCAGAGCAAGTGTTCAATGTGGATGAAACTGGGCTGTTTTGGAAAAAGATGCCCAAAATAACATTCATCACCAGAGATGAAGCCTCTTTACCTGGGCATAAACCCATGAAAGACCATCTCACTCTATTGCTTGGTGCCAATGCTTCAGGGGATTTCCAACTGAAGCCTATGCTTGTATACCACTCTGAGAAGCCCAGAGTGTTCAAACAACAAAAAGTGGTAAGAGGAAAGCTTGGAGTTTATTGGAAGTCCAACCGTAAGGCATGGGTGACAAGACAGCTCTTTAATGAATGGGCTGTTGAGGTGTTTTGCCCTTCTGTGAAGAGCTACCTAACCACAACTCCCTTTAAAGGCTCTTCTCATGGATTATGCCCATAAACAAAATAAAAGTCATTCTATTTCCTCACTGTGCTAAGAAGTATAAATACTGTATATAAAATCCTCGTGGAACTTAGTATTTCAGCTATTACAACACAAATTCACGGAGCCTTCTTTGTGTGTATTTACAGCTGATTCACCAGGCAAGAAGATGACGGTGGCAGTGCATATGATGGGGGTGAAGGAGGGGGTTTTGTGAATTGCAATTAAATGCCAGGTAGCGACGTGTCCTCCTAATATTACTTATTAAGTAATTATTAGATATTTTAATTGCCTGTAAATGTTGGCCTGGCGAGTTATTGCTAGACATTAACATACCTAGGTATAAGCTAGGCGTCGCCTTCTGGGTTGAACAAAAATATATTATATAATCAGCAATTTGCATAAAAATTTTATGACAAACTGAATAATTAGGTAAAAATAAGCATTTTACTGTATATGAAGGGTGCTGGTATTAATAAGCTTAAATTATTACAGTAACATATGTTTACTAATTAATAAAAAAAAAAAATTCTAGTTTAGGTGGAGGCATACTGGGCACTTCCAAACGTATTACCCATTTTGCTGGCCGTTTGTCTAAAAGCCTAGCAAACAGCAGGATTTCAGCTGTTGCTAGACATGGACAATGGTTTGGCTTGGCCAGATTAGTTATCAAATGTGCTTTATATAATTTCAAGTAAAAATTGAAATAAATCATACAACGATAATAATTTAAAATATTACTCATAAATGGTGACATACTTCTTTTTATTCATAATATGCAAACTACTTTAGTATTATTAAATCATTATTCAGGGTCCTCTTTGACCAGCCAGCTGCTGCCATTTTAAAGAAACTTCACGATGTACCCAGTGTCTTTTCTTTAGCTTTTGCAGATGCCTCACTTGCTTCAGCAATTGAAGAGCTATAGTACAATTCTGTAAGGCCTCAACTGCAGTAATGGGAACCATGGCAAACATCATCTGCTGTACGGTATCTGCTTTGTTGCTATTTTCGTTGCATTGGGCAGACACGCCAACAAAAGTCCGAGTGTGATGCAAAACATCTCTTTGTTTTACTGGCCAGACAGTGTTTGACAAACATGTTTGGAGGAAAGTGCCCAGTGAGCCGCCACCTTTACAGTAAGAATGACGGGTGTGGGTGGGAGATGAACCTTTTTGGGGTGAGCGGTCGGTTTCTCCCCCTAAGGTTCTCCATTTCCTCCACCACCACTCTGAAACATTCAATGCCATAATATCATGACCACTGGGGTTAGTTATACAGATTTTTGGCTGTCAAAAAGTCATAATTTTTAACAAAATAATACTGGACTCACTTTGTACTCGAATATTCTAAGCTAATGGAATAAAATTTTGTCTTGTGCAAACTATGAGATATTTATACTCAAATTAATCACTATCTTACAAGGATTCCAGCAATGCAAGTTATAATCTGCTTCAAGTCTGTGAATTTTTATGAGAGAAACTTTGAGCATAAAACCACCTTCATCCTATAAAATCCTTATCATGCCATCTTGCTTCCCCTGCTGGCTGGGAGGTGGGGTGTTGTCAACCAGGAGGGGAGATTACCAGGTAGTTGTCACTGGAGAAGGGGGGAGTGGTCAGGGAATCAGGCTTATACAATACAGGGGAAGTTTTAAGTTTTTTGCTGATAAAATGTCACTGACTTGTCTTGGCAGAATATAACTTGTGTTGCTGGAATTCTTGCAAGATAACAATTAATTTGAGTGAAAACATCCCTTAGTTTGCACTAGACATAAAAATTTTAGTACAGGTTGACAATCCCTTATCCGAAACCCTTGGGGCTAGAGGCATTTTGGATTTCGGAATTTTTCGGGGCCTGGGAGGGGCGAAAATATTATAATAATAATAATACCGGTAATGTAATAATAATTCATAGGTCTAGGTCTCATTTCTCACTTTTGATCTTTTTTTTCATTCTTGTATTTCTTTATTGTTATTATTATTTTATTACAGTATTATTGTTATTATTATTATTATTATTATTATTATTAATTTTATTATTATATTTTATTATTACTATTATTATTATTTATCATTATTTTATTTTGGTGTACAGTATTTTAATTAAAAATTTTATTTACTATGAATAATTATTATTATTGTAATTATTATTACTATTACATTTTTGCCCACCAGGCCCCGATGTGAGTCAGTGATTTATGCCTGGGTGGGTTAATCCCTGTTTAAAAAAAAAAAAAATTGCCTCACAAAAAAACTTTCGGAATTTCGGATAAAGGGTTGTCAACATGTAATTAACTTAGTACATTTGAGTACATGTTATAATAATTTATTCGTTGCTCAGAAGTTGTGGTTGCAGTTTCGAACTTCGTGACATGACTAGTGTATAATGAGTCTCCGTATGCCCTGGTTTATTCATTGATCAATTGTCTTAATGCCAAAGTAGTCATATCATGTGTCAATTAATTTTAAAACAAATTATAAAGTAAAATGTTTACGGTGATGCTTTAGTAGTGCTGTTAATGTGTGTGTGCTGTTATAGATATAAACACTACCAATTTTTCTGTTTTTGTATGAGTCTTCTAGCTTAAGGGGAAAGTAATACATTATTTTCAGTCACCCTAGGTATTCAAATAGGTAACCAGTGTTGTAAATGTTACAGATGCCATCAATCGTTATAAAGTGCAGAATGGCTTCCAACCAAGGATGATTGTGGTGTACCGTGATGGGGTTGGTGAAGGACAAATTGAGTTTGTCAAGGAACATGAAATTTCTGCTGTTAAGGTAATTTACAAAAAATAGATTTTATTGATACGGTAATTATTTCTCAGCTTATTCGTATTCTTCCATGTGTAAAAGTTGCCTTGTGCCTTTCCTTGAAAATAGCTATTTTATATATTCGAAATAGATTTGAGAATGGATTATTATATATTTGTATCCCATGTACACACAATCAAAAAACTTCTTTACAATTTTGTGTTTGATAATTATATGACACCAGACGAAGGATTTTAACAACTGCCAAGACAACAGCAGTGTTAGTTTTGAAATTCATCAGACTCATCCGTAAAGATACTTTCTTTTTTATTGTATTTGAGTACAGTAGTACCCCGCTTTATGCGGTCAATTGAACCCACAGGGTACCTCAGAAAGTGGAAAGTGAAAACCGCGTAAAGTGAACAACAGAACATATGGAATTAATTCCAATAGAGACTGGCCCGACCCCCAAACTCCACTTTTTCCGACACAATACCTATGTTGTAGTAAAAATAACATCTAAATTTTATGATGGTATGCTCACACAATTAATATTTAAGAGAAATACAGTCGCCAGGTTAATGTCCATTCAAATAATGGACTCAAATCTCCCAGGGAATATTTTGAATGTAAACTTCATATATTTTGCACAAACAATAAAATATTTGCTTTGTGTAAACCAAATTATTACATTAGATCTAAAATTTGTATGTCTAATGCAAAATCCATGATGTTTATATTCAAAATGATCATCACATTGTAAGAATTCCAGCAATGTAAATTATATTCTGGCAGGGTAATTTGTATATATTTTATAGCTAAAAAAAAAAAAAAAATAAAAATATACTTCACCGAGTATATGGGTAGATGCACCGCAGATGCACCGCGGAAAATGAAATTCCGGTTCTGGCAAGGTACCGTGTAATGAGAAATCGCGGGAAATGAAACCGTGTAAAGCGGGGTAATACTGTACAGCCCCAAGCAATATTTGGATCGGGTCGGGTCATGTTGCATCTCTGTAACAAAGCGTGTTCGGCATTCGGGCCTTCGTTGTTGAGCGGCAGAAATTGCACAGTGATTACATTAGATTATCAAGATCGTCTTAGTGATGTGAAAGTGTAAATCGATGTAGGATTTTTAATGCTAGATGCGATTGTATTTTTGAAAACTCAATCTCCACCGAGTTGGAGATACAGCCCAGGTCAAGAGGCCTACAACCACAAAATCATTACCGTATGACAAAGCTTTCATTTTATATTTTTATGGAGTTGTGGTCACAGCTGTGATAAAGGCCAACCAGGGGGTGTAGTACTTTGCCTTTAGTTAAATCAGTTCATAGTGTCATCAGTGACTGCAGAAGAGGTCACCATATAGTGTTGTTATTCAGATTTAACTGTTACCTAGTTCAAGATAAGGCCAGGCCAAGGTGCAAATATTACAAGGGAAATTACAACAGAATGAGGGGTATCCACTGGCCTGACTCACTAAGGCACAAGAACGCAGACACTACGCTGAATATCATAACTAGTAAAGTGACCCATTTGATAGATAAATATATACCCAAGACCAAACCCAGTGCCTCTAGGAATACAAGGGGATCCCTACACATGAAGAAAACCCAGAAATTCAAGACATGGGTTGGGTCAAATGATGAGTAGGACAGGAGGATGTATGCAAGAGCCAAATACCAAGCAAAGATAGAATGTAGAAGGGCTAAAAAGGAGTCCCACAGGCTGGTTGCAAGCGAGGTCATGTCAAACCCAAAGGCATTTTACCGCTATGCAAAGTCGAAATTAAAAATGCGAGTAGGAGTTTCAGACCTGAGGCTTGAAGATGGTAGTTACACAGATTCTGACCAGGATAAAGCCAAGGCATTGAACAGCTTCTTTTCCTCGGTGTTCACAAGAGAGGATGCGATTAACCTTCCTGCGTTTGAGGACAGATGGTTCAACAGCACTGACCTACATTGTGTACACAGAATAGGGTATTAGAAATAAACTGTCAAAGCTAAAGGTCTATAAGAGTCCCAGCCTTGACAAGGTGCATCCTAAAGTGCTAAGAGAGTTGAGCAACGAGCTTGCCGAGCTCCTGAAGATCCTGTTTTGTAAATGCCTGGATGAAGAAAGGGTCCTCAGTGAATGGAAAGTAGCATGCGAGTCCTATCTTCAAGAAGGGCGATAGTCACTCCACGAACAACTATAGACCTGTGAGCCTGACCAGCATAATATGTAAAGTACTTGAGAGTATTATCAGAGATGCAGCGATGGAACATCTACTACGAAACAACCTTGTAAAGGATTGCCAGCTCGGTTTTATGCCAAGGCGCTCCTGCTTAACACAATTGCTCAAGGTATTGGATATTTGGACCCATATTCTGGAACAGGGTGGTAATATCAACAATGTATACCTAGATTTTGCCAAGGCTTTCGACAGTGTACCCCACGAAAGGCTGAAAATCAAACTGGAAGGGTATGGAATTCGGGGAAATGTCCTAGCGTGGATAGAAGACTTTCTACATGACCGCAATGAGTGTGTGATGATTAGTGGCACGAAATCATCATCCATACCTGTCACAAGCGGGGTACCACAGGGCAGTGTTTCCCACTGTTGTTTTTTTGTGTCATAAATGACATGCCTGACGTTGTACACGCCTCCATACAAATGTTAGCCGATGACTCCAAGTTATTTTGGGAAATCAAGAACCAAGCGGACTGTGAAGAGCTGCAGAAGGACCTCTGTGGGCTCCGAGAATGGTTGAAGAAATGGCTGCTGAGATTCAATGTCACGAAGTGTAAGAGGATGCACCTGGGGCATACCAACGGTAAGCAGGTGCATCATATGTCCCAACGGGATGAAGAAACTGCACTATTTGAGACTGAATGTGAAAAGGACCTAGGTGTGTATGTTGACAATGAACTGGAGTTGTCGGGCCATTGCGAGAAGAAGGTAAATCAGGCAAATAAATTATTGGGTTTTATAATAAGGTCGTTCAGATATCTAGACTGTCCTTCCCTCGTAACGATCTTCAAGAGTGAAGTGCTTTCTCATCTGGAGTACTGTCACCCAGTTTGGTGCCCGAGATATGCTAGGGACTGTCAGTTGGTTGAAAATGTTCAAAGGAGGGCCACCAGACTGGTGCCTGCACTTCGGCACCTCAGCTACCCTGAGAGATTGGAGCTTATACTACAGACGGGCAAGGGGTGACCTAATTGAGGTGAATAAGCATCTCAAGGGGCACTACTTGGTCGAGTGTCCTTACTTGGAGCTGGCGGATGCTCGCCCCAGAAGGGGTCACTGCTCAAGATTGAAGAAGCCGCAAGTCCAGAAAACTACGAGGGCAAACTTTCGGAGTGAGAGTTATGAACCCTTGGAACAATCTGCCAGAAAGTGTTGTGACGGCACCGAGTGTGAGCTCTTTCAAGACAAGACTTGACCAACATTGGAGCAAGTTCAGGTACATTCAGGAGGCGGTGCATGCCAACAGAGACGTGACCGATCGCCCAAGCGGCTAACGAGCCGATCAGTGGTGAAGAGGATAAAAGTAAAAAAAAGTAAAAGTATTTACCTTGCATATTATTACCCTAGTTGAAATAAAAATGGTCTGTGTAAAGATGAAATTCCAAATCCAGGCCTGTGGCTTCAAAGCCAATGCTGGTGCCATGCCTTAGGCTTCGAAGCTGAAGCGGTTCAGCCTTATACCTGTTAGTTACAACAATTTGTACCAGTACAGTGACCAATTCTCTGCTCTCCAACTTCGCTGCAGTTTCTTGATTAAACATTAGCTTAAATTTTTGGTGTTAGATTCATACGTCAGCCAAATGCATCACAAGCATCGATCTCTGTATTGTAAAGTAAATGAAGCAAGGTCCAGTTCCAGTATGAGAAGTCCATGACATCTTTTCAATTCATTATCAGTTATCTCTTTATTTAGCTTTTTCAAAGTTTTGTTACAAATAGGGGGTTGTGTTATAAGTCGGAGGTTGATTGTTTAATATCTATAATGTGTATCTGCCAATTCCTGTCATTACCATTGCCACCACTAATACAGATGCATTTGTGGGGGAGTGGAATAGTAACCTATAATAGTGTTTTTATTTTATTTTCAGCGGAGCTTTCAACAATTATATGAGACACCTCCAAAGTTTGCCTTCATAATAGTGACCAAGAGGATCAACACTCGTTTCTTTGTTGAGAATAGAAGAGGTATTATTAACACACCTCCAGGGACTGTAGTTGATGATGTCATCACTTTTCCAGAAAGGTTTGTAGTATATCTTGTTTTCTATAGTAAATTATTGCATTATTATAAATGAGTTTCTAGTTTGAAGATTATACATCCTCTGTGTCTTATGGTTTGTTTCTATAAATATAATGTACAGTAATAGTAATTGGTGCATCCAAGATTTCAATGCCCCAGATGGGTCCTTACACCACCTTACTTAATTGCAAAGAATGATGTTGGTACACTATTGGCATTGAATGTTATTTTGGCGAGGAAAATGCAAATACAGAGGACAAAAATAACAATATTGACATGGCTGAGCCAATTGAGAGCCTGAGCCTGACCGTTTAAGTGAGTGAAGCCTATCAGCTGCGCGGCTGCCATCTTTTGGTTGGCAAGAGCTCGCTTCCAGCTGCCACTCCTCACAGTACTGTAAGTGTACATTGTGATTATGTTTATCAATAAATGTATCATTTAATGTGAAAAAATTGAGACAATACATTAAACATTTATTAATCACAGAAATATACGCAAATAGTACAATATATACACAAATAGTACAATAAACTTCAGTGTAAAACATAATGTACAGTAGATCTGCAGTACAGGAGCTTACTGGCTACTGAAATGAATCAGTTTTGTGTATAATTGATGACCTTTTACCTCAATCTGAACTTTTAACTTGGCAGTGAATTGTTTTCCAGCGTATGCATCTCACTTGAAGATGCATAAAAATATGATCATATAAAACTTTATGATCATCACTAACATATATCGTATATACAGGTAGCTGGGGACTTGAAACCAATCTTTTGCTGTTCATAAACAATGTAAGCTTCTGCTGTATGCAATACAATTGAATGCTATACAGTCAACCCTCGCTTTACGCGGTCCCACGTTTACGCGGTACCCTGCCGAAACCGGAATGCTCACTTTCCGCGGTGTGTGTACCCTTTTACGCGGAGAGCGGCGCAAGCAGGGTGCGCACAAGGTCGCCCAGTCATCAAAACATTACCGAGTTCTTCATCCGCCACCCACCACAGCCGGCCCAAGTCAGTGATAGTGATAATGATAGTGAGGATATGGACTTATATGGACTTTGAGGGGTTTGACAAAGAGGCCCTGCAAGCCTCTGTGGTGGATAGTGATACAAGTGATACAGGTGAGGGCCAATAATCTGCCCTCTGCCTCGGAACCAACCCCCCATCCCCGTGTGCCCAGCCATCTTTTCTACTAATGTAAGTGTTAAAAAACCTAATATTATTGATATTTCTCTGAATTATTAATTGTGTGTGCATACCATCATAAAATTAAGAAGTTATTTTTACTACAACATAGGCATTGTGTCTGAAAAGGTGGAGTTTGGGGGTCGGCCCGGTCTCTATTTCAATTAATCCCAAATGTTATGTTACGCGTTTCTCACTTTACGCGGGCCGCCGTGGGTTGAATTAACCGCGTAAAGTGAGGGTTCACTGTATAGCTGAAGTTGTTATAATGAGTTTTTATTTTTTTAACATATACTGCTTAACTGTATTTGCTCCAACACATCAATGCACAATAACGTGAAAATAAAATTTTGCATCTATTTAACTTAGGGCGACATAAAGAAGTAAACACATCTTGTACTAATCCCTCCAGGTCAAACTGTACAATTTTTAATTAGTGCAATAACATAAAAAACTAAAATCTCTGAAATATTATTAGGTACCTGTATATATTTTACTTTCAATATTGGCATCTTTATCAGAAAGCATCACTCCTTTAGCAATTTATCAATTAATATAACCAATTTTGGCATATACCTTACATTTCACTGATATACACAATGTGTACAATGAAAGACAAAAGTTGCATCATGAAATTTGGTGAAAACATATGCCAAAGGACTAAACTTTTGGTGCGCTCCGCCTTGTGGTAGGGGGCTCTCTCAATGTTTCACGAGTTATATTTAATCTTCGGACAAAACCATGACATGACTTTTGTCTTTGATTGTACAGGCTGTTTGTGCTAAATATAGCCAATTAGAAAACAAGGGTTATGGACTGTGTATACATTGTTAACTAAATACACATGTCATAACCTACTAATGGTCAGAAGCTTGCCTAAAATTTTAATTTTATAGTAAGCTTTACATTATTTTAAATCTTTCTTATTGGCAAATTGTAAGTGAAGGACCCAAGCTTTTGTTGAACCTTGCTGTACATCCATATGCAGTGCAGGATACTGACATTTACACCAAATAAACACAAAAACAAAGGAAAGAAAGGAAACTTCCACCTGCACGTTGTGAGGTGGTGTGTGCTACTGGCATGTGGCGGGCATCTCTTGCCAACCACAAAATGGCCGCTGCGTGCTCACGTTGGCTTCACTTTTCCAAGCAGATGCCACCTCCACCCTATTATACCTCCATGGTGGCACCTGATATATTCAGTACATATATCTTGAGGAATTATTATATAATATTTAGGTGATTTAGTATCATCTGGATGGTGTTAGTAAATGTTTACATATAAAAACTTTACCACAATTATCACTTTTTATTTATTAATTATTTTATTTTATATTATTTTTTACATTTATACTATAGATATATACATATTTTGCAGGAGAGTTGTTGTACAGTAACCTGATAAGTGGTTGAAGCAATACATGGGTTGGGTGAGGGTGAAGCAAGGGGACAGACAGTCAGGATAATGGTTTGATGGCAAATACTTAATTATTGCAGTGGTAATTTCTATCTATGTGACAATGTATTATGATATAATTTTGATGGCACGGTAAGTATACAAAAATATTAATATTTGGACTATAGATAATTTTTGAGATGTTTTAACCCAATAAGTGCGTTAGTGATTAGCCGATCAACTCCCCAGTGCGGGAAAAATAAAATCCCGGAACATCATTTTAACTCCTTACGGATTTAACGATAGTGTGTAGAAGAATGTGAAAACCATATATGAGCCTATTACATACCTTAGTTGGCTGTGGTGATTTTGTGAGGTCAGTGGGGTTTGGGGCTGGCAGGAGGTCGCACCAAGCTGTGCCACGAGTGGGGGGGATGACATGTGAGGGAGGGAGACATGGCAACAACTGACGTGGAATCATGATAAACAATTAGGGAGAAGTTCTTATTTGCCATATTTCCTTATTTTCTGCTTGAACAAAAGTTATGGAAAAATAGCCATAGTCTATTCACTTACGGGGGACTAGTTCCAAGTGTGGATTGAACAAGAAAATCGCTTATTCTCTCATGTTGTTTTTCCACTGTTTATACTATTTACAGTTTACCACAGAATACTCAAGTAGTTATTTAGGGTGTGGTAATCCCTATAACATTAGCCCACATACAATCCCTCATCACTCTCAACACATTATTGTCACCATTTTCCTGTCTTTCCCCGCTTGTGGTGTTCTTACAGTCATAGCACTCCAGCTGTTTTTTCCAACCATGTCCGTATGTCTGTATTGTGTCCTGGAAATGTTGAGCCATTTAATTTCAACCGTTTAATCTATCGGGGGGCACGTATAGTGCCTCCACCTCTTTCTTGAAGAGGTCAGGGCTCCATATTTTTTCAGCACCTGGTAGAAAACATTGTACTGGAATTCCTTCACCTTCACTTCCTTATTTCCAGTCCTAACTAGGAACAAATTGTAGGCATTAAGGATGGTGATGTCTAGAGTGTGAAAGAAGAGTTTGTGATACCATTTTACAGAGTTTACTAATGCACACTGCAGCACTTCGTTGGCAGTCACTTTTGTTTAAGATGCATATACTCATTATAGTCTATCAGATTCAGGCTTCATTTTCTCATGAGTTTGACATCCACCTTCCCACTGTCTTTCATTTTACCCTTGCACAAAGCACTGAGCTTCATGACTTGTCATGCCAGTTTCTGCAATGACTTTCCCAGACTTTTGCAATTCACAGTGGCCTTGATCAGGTCTCTCAACAAATTTTGGCATATTCATTTCTTCTGTACAATTCCACAAGTTCAGGTGGTATGTGCATACATGAAGCGGCACAAAACAGTAGAGTTGTAAAAAGTACCGGACTTTGTTACTTAAAACTCTTGTTACATTGGCAAAATATTACTCAAGTAGAAGTAAAAGTATCCATAGTTCAACGTACTCAAGTACTGAAATAAAAAAGTAACAACTAAAGTATTAATCGTCTCAAATGTTAAAGTAAATCCACGGTAAATTAGAAAAAAAAAATTAAAATAAAAGACATATCATTACACAACACATGTTTATTTGCAAATCAATCTGTATATGTTCATAATAACCATTTAATGAAAGCAAATACTTAAAATTTAAATTTCTGTGGAAGCATAGAGGGCTTTGAAAACCAAGAAAAATGAGGCAATAAAACAGACGGTTGATTTAAAAAAATTTGAGACAAAGTATGGTTAACGCCGACTCCAAAAAAGAACGATGACCTAAAAAAAGACGTTTTTTTTTTTTTTTTTTTCTAAACACCAGTTTTTGTGATATAGCTCGAATGCGACGTCAACAAATGCTACCTAGGTATGTTAATTCCTAGCCAATTCGCCAGGCCAACATACAGGCAATTAAAACATCTAATAATTACTTAATAAGTAATATTAGGAGGACACGTCGCTACCTGGCATTTAATTGCAA